GACAAACAGCGAAACTCCGTCTCAAAAAAAAGGCCTCTAGGTAGTGCTTAAAATGCCTTTGAAAGGACAAGAGTGAGGCGTGCCCAGCAGAAAGCTGCGGAGCAAGCTGCGTGCCTCCCGCTGGGCTGGCCGTTGCAGGGTTTGGACGTGGCCAGCTCCCACGGCAGAGCCCACGGGCTTTGATGGCCTGGAGAGGCCCTGTCACCTCGGCTGGATACACTTCTTCAAGGACTGTCCTGCTCTACTGGCTCCTGACTGTGTGACCTCAGCCAAGCCCCTGGACCTCTCTGAGTTTTATTTCTTCCTAGGAAATGGGAGGGTCCCTTGTGGAAGTGTTGTGAGAATTAAATGAGGTAATTCCAGCAGAGCAGGGGACCTGGGACCTGGCAGGTAGAGGCAGTGCTGGGGCTCCAGTCTGGATGGAAGCAGTGTCCGCTGGCTGGCCTGGGCGCGGTGGCCCACGCCTGGAATCTCAGCACTTTGGGAGGCTGACGTGGGTGGATCACCAGGTGAGGAGTTTGAGACCAGCTTGGTCAACATGGTGAAACCCCGTCTCTACTAAAAATGCAAAAATTAGCTGGGCGTGGTGGTGGGTGCCTGTAATCCCAGCTGCTCGGGAGACTGAGGCATGAGAATCGCTCAAACCTGGGAGGCAGAGGTTGCAGTGAGCTGAGATTGTGTCACTACACTCCAGCCTGGGTGACAGAGTGAGACTCTTTTTTTTTTTTTTTTTTTTTTGACTCTGTCTTTAAAAAAAAAGTGTCTATTCACACAGAGCCCACAAACCAGGAGGGACAGCCCTAGACCACCAGGTTCCCCGCCCTGCTGGCCTCGCTACGGGACACTTGCTGTCACCCCCGACAACCAACTCTGGCTGGCTGCAGCATCTCCTTCAGGTCAGAGTCCCGCGGTCCAGGAAGCCTGTGCTACATGTTTGTGTCTCCAGTGTTCAGTACAGGGCCTGGCTCGTAGCAGGTGCTGAGGACAGGTCTGTAGAAGGAGGGAGGGGCAGACAGACCCCAGCATCTCCCAGGATGCTTCCCCTCTCCCTCCCAGGCAAACATGGCTGCTCCCTCCCAGCTGTCCTGGGAGCCCGGGTATGTGCCTGCACGCCCTGGAGCCATCTTGGTGTGTTGTCACTGCCACTGCCTGGCTTCCTCGGGAGACTCAGAGCTCCTCAGAGCGCCCGGGCCAGGGGCTTATCCATCCGCGTGCCCGTGGCTGGCCCTGGACCTGCGCACAAAATGTGTGTGTTGAATTGAACTAGAGTGAGATGAGGGTCGGGCGTGGGGCTCACGCCTGTCATCCCAGCACTTTGAGAGGCTGAAGTCGGCAGATCGCCTGAGCTCAGGGGTTCGAGACCAGCCTGGCCAACATGGTGAAACCCCGTCTCTACTAAAATACAAAAATTAGCTGGGCATGGTGGTGGGCGCCTCTAATCCCTGCTACTTGGGAGGCTGAGAGGATCGCTTGAGCTGGGAGGCGGAGGCTGCAGTGAGCCGAGATAGTGCCACTGCACTGCAGCCTGGGTGACAGAAAAAATAAGCGATAAAATAAAGCAAGTTGAATTGAATCATGAGATGAGGTAGATGGGCCCCGTCAGTTCCTGGTGGCCCAGGACGGCTTTGGGAGGTCCAGGGGGAGCTGACGGGTCGTCCACATTTACCCCTCGGCAGGAGGCAAAACCAGGACCATGGGGTCACAATCAGGCTCAGGGCAGGGGTGGCGGGTGGTGGGGGCTTGGGAAGCGGTTCGGTCTCCCAGGAACGTTTATGGAGTGAAGAACGCGCCCCTGTTTGTGCAGGATGAGGGGCAGGGCCCAGCCCTCCACGCACAGGTCTGGGATGGGGGCTGCCTGCTACCTAAGCGGGCCGAGCAGTGACAGGAGAGAAGCGGGAACAGGCCTCCGTCCCCACGAACACTTGGCCTCAGCGCCCTGTTTTGTCCAGGTCGGGTGGCTCTCGTCACCTGTGGGGTGCTTGGAGCTCTGTATGCAGGTTGTCTCTTTGGATGGTCTCATTTGCAGGTTAAGGAGTCCCCACAGGGGACCCAAATCAGGAGAGGCCCAGGCGGGATCTGAACCCAGGTGGGCTGGCTCAGGCCCCCAGGCCCTGCTGCCCTCAGCTCTGCTGTCCCTCACGCTTCAGCCCCACCCTTGGCCTCAGGGCTGGCAATGCTGAGCTCCTCCGTGTTGGCCACCCAGCCTGGCGGCTCTGTCCACACCACTGGCCCCTTTGGCCTGTCCCCATCAGGCCCTTTCCACCTTCCACCATAAACACCCTGCCTGCTCCACCTGCAGGCTGGAAAAGTGGCCCCCTCGCCCACTCTACACAGCCAACCCTCACCGTCCCCCCAGAAGCTTTTTCCTTTTCAGAGAGCAAAGTGTGGCAGCAGGAAGCCCACTCTGGGAGCAGATAGGCCTGGGAGTCTGGTCAGGTCAGCGTTTACTCACTTATGTGTGCCGGGGATACAGACAAGCCCCCGAGCCTCAGTTTACCAGTGTGAACCCCGGGATCATGATGCTAGTGACCTCAAGGGACTGCCATGTGGGTTTACAGTGACTGCAAAGTGTGGGACACGTACCAGGAACCTGCCCGCTGATACTGCTGTTTTTTCTTTTTTTTGGAGATAGAGTCTCACTCTATCGCCAGGCTGGAGCGCAGTGGTGTGATCTTGGCTCACTGCAACCTCTGCCTCCCGAGTTCGAGCGATTCTCCTGCCTCAGCCTCCAGAGTAGGGACTGCAGGCACAAGCCACCTTGCCTGGCTAATTTTTGTATTTTTAGTAGAGACGGGGGTTTCACCGTGCTGGCCAGGCTGGTCTTGAACTCCTGACCACAAGTGATCTGCCCACCTCGGCCTCCCAAAGTGTTGAGATTACAGGTGTGAGCCACCGTGCCCAGCCTGCTGTTTGTTTGTTTACTTGTTTTTTGGGAAGTAGTTTCGCTCTTATAGCCCAGGCTGGAGTGCAGTGGCGCGATCTCAGGTCACTGCAACCTCCGCCTCCTGGGTTCAAGCGATTCTCCCGCCTCAGCCTCCCAAGTAGCTGGGACTACAGGCGCCTGCCACTATGCCTGACTATTTTTGTATTTTTAGTAGAGATGGGGTTTCTCCACGTTGGTCAAGCTGGTCTCGAACTCCAAACCTCAGGTGATCCGCCTGCCTTGGCCTCCCAAAGTGCTGGGATGACAGGCATGAGCCACTGTGCCTGGCCTGCTTTTTAATTTTTCTTTTTAAAATTGAGACAGGGTTTCACTCTGTTGCTCAGGCTGGAGTGTGTTGGCACAGTCACGGCTCTACTCACTGTAGCTGCAACTTCTCTGGCTCCAGCGATCCTCCCACCTCAGCCTCCTGAGTAGCTGGGACCACAGGCGTGCACTACCATGCCTGGCTGATTTTTAAATTTTCTGGGAGACAGTCTCACCACGTTTCAGGCTGGTCTCGAACTCTAGCCTGTCCCTGGGATCTGTGCAGAAAGGACTGCAGGAGTTGAGACTGGCTTCACCCCTTGCTTTATAGTTGGAGAAACTGCGTCCGGAGTGGACAGGTGACTTGCTCAGGGGAACACCTCACGTTGGCCACGGAGCCCCAGGGTGCCAGGTTCCGCTGCCAGGTTCCCGCTGCCCAGCCTCAGCCTGGCCCTGGGGCCGCGGGCAGAGTGGGCCGCTTGTGCTCTCACTGTTCGGAACCCCCTCGACCCCAGCAGCACAAACACACAGGCCGAGGTGAGCGTGCATGCTCAGGTTTATTCCTTTCCATGCGGTGTCACTGGTGTAGGTGGCGGAGGGCGTGTTGGGGGGAGTTCTTGCTCCTCCCTGTGGGACCCGGGGAGTGGCTGGGTTGGTGCCTTAGGCTGGGCCACTGGTTCTTCCAGGTGGTGGCTGGACTCACGGTGCAGCTGGGACACCGGGGCCACTGTCCCCTCCAGCCTCCATGCAGCGTGGGGCAGGGGCTGCGGGGACCCTCCCTCCCGGTCCCTTGGTGTCCAGAATGGCTTTCTCCTCCTGCTCTGTGATCTGCGGGCCTCCGCTGCCTCCACACACCTGGGGGGCTTCTGAGCTCTGTCCCTGGCGCCCTAGGAAACTCTGTCACCCTCGCCGGCGTGGAAGCATGTTCTGGCTCTGCCCCTTCCTGGGGCGTCTGCAATGGCCTCCCGAAGCAGGGCCTGTGGCTGCCCTGGGTTCTCAGTGTGAATGATCACGCACCTGTGTGCGTGTGTGTGTAAGAGAGAGAAGGTCTGTGTGTGTGTGAAGGTCTGTGTGTGTGTAACAGAGAAGGTCTGCGTGTGTGAGAAGGTCTGCATGTGTATGTGAGATTGTGTGTGTGCATGTGTATGTGTATGTGAGGTGCGTGTGAAGGTCTGTGTGTGTACACGTGTATGTGTGTGTGTGAGAAGGTCATGTGTGTGTGTAAGAGGCCTGTGTGTGTGGTCTGCATGTGTGTGTGTGAAGGTCTGTGTGTGTGTACACATGTGTGTGTGAGAAGGTCCTGTGTGTGTGTAAGAGAGGTCTGCATGTGTGAGAAGGTATGTGTGTGTGAGAAGGTCTCTGTGTGTGTGAGAAGGTCTGTGTGTGTGTGTGTGTGTGTGTGAAGGTCTGTGTGCGTGTAAGAAGGTCTGCATGTGTGAGGTCTGTGTGTACATGTGTATGTGTGTGTGAGAAGGTTGTGTGTGTAAGAGGTCTGTGTGTGTATGTGTGAGAAGGTCTGTGTGTGTGCACGCACGTGTGAGGTCTCTGTGTGAGAAAGTCTGTGTGTGTGTGTGTGAGAAGGTCTGTGTGTGTGTGTGAAGGTCTGTGTGTGTGTGTGAGGTCTGTGTGTGTGAGAAGGTCTGTGTGTGTGTGTGTGAAGGTTTGTGTGTGTGTGTGTGTGAGAAGGTCTGTGTGTGTATGTGTGTGTATGTGTGATGGAGTGCTCAGTGGAGCCTCTGTGTGTGTGTGTGAGAGGGAAGGTCTGTGTGTGCATGTGTACGTGTGTGTGTGTGTGTGTGTGTGTGATGGAGTGCTCAGCGAAGCCTGTGTGTGTGTGCGTGTGAGAAGGTCTGGGCATGTGCTTGCTCCAAGGGCACCTAGAGTCCTTCTGGTATCATGATCCCCCGTGACAGTCCCTCAGCCCTTGGTTCGTTTGTCTCCTCCCCTGAGTGGCTGAGGCCGCGGACCCCGGGGCCTGTCGGGAAACCACCCTCTCATCACCCTCCTTCCAGAGCTGAGGCCACTTCCACCCACCTCAGGTCTCCCCATGTGACATGACTTCTGGGGTGGCACAAACGCTCTGTGCTCCCTCCTCCAAGTAGGGGTATCTATTTCAGCCTCCAAGATCCGGCAAAGAAAACCCAACCCATCCCTACTGTATGACCAGGAGAGGTTGGGGTTTATTCCCCAGGTGGGGGACTGATGTAGGAACACCAGCCTCAGAGGACCAGCCCAGCACCCCCTGAACCCAGCACCCCCAAGCCCTGCAGCCCTGAACCCTGCACCCCCACCGTCTGTTGTCACATGGGCTCTGTCTGGAAGGCTCAGAGCTCCAGCTGTGCGCAGACCCAGGGTCCTCCCTGTAGACAGAACCTCTGTACTGACCTGCTCTTCCCTCCCTGGGCCTCCGAGGAGGGTGGGGGGATGAACCAGGGCCCTGGAGAGGAGGCAGGAGGGTCCTGATGGGGCGCAGAGGATGCTGACTCCCAACAGCCTTGGGCCAGTCTGGCTGTGGCTGGGAACCCTTCCCAGAAGGCAGTGACCGGCTGAGGTGGGGCCTCCCAGGGCAGGAGAGCACCCTGTCCGGGGCCTGGGAGGGGCAGCCCGGAGGGAAGGCGGGGGCAGGAGAGGTCTCTGAGGCTGGAGCCTGGGCCAGGGAGAAGGAAGTCTATGGAAAATCATGGGTCTGGAGCCAGGGAGGAGGCCGGGACCCTGCTTGGCTCCTTTTGGGGCTGCATTAGGTCCTAGGACACAGAGGCCGTGGCGTCCAGGCCCCAGGCTCTGCGTGTGAGTATGTTCCCAAACCTGCTCCCCCAACTCCTGTGCAGACTGGGCCTTCAGCCAAGCCCTTCACTTTGTCTCATGACTGTTGAGAAACAACAGACCCCATGAAAACGCTCTGGCTCACACCCTTGCAGGTGGCACAAACGCCCCTGACAGCCTGAGATCCCCTGGAAGTCCCCCCAGGGGTGGCCCCAAAACCTCCTCTAGGATGGTCAGGGGCCCAGGGCCAAGCGCAGAGCACAGAGCATAGGGCTGGGATGGACGTCTGAGCCCCCCCGAGCCACACCACCCGGGGCCGCGAGCTGCATCCCAGACCACTGAGGAGGCCACGGCAGGACCAGCGCGCAGACCTTGGCCCTCCCCGCCGCTGACCTTGGCCAGGTCAGGTCCCAGGAGCTCTGGTCGGTGCCTTGGGCCACAGCACGAGGAGGAGGAGGAGCAGATGGGCTTTTCCTGGGAGACATCCTGAGACCAGGGTCCTCGAGAGGCGCTCCCAACGCTGAAACGTCTGGGAGGAGGGGTGTGGGTCACGCTGCCCCTGACCCTGTCCTGTCTTCACCAACAGTGGAGGAAGAAGCAAGGCGGCTGCCTCCTTCCAGGGAGTGGCACGGCCCAGGTGCCTGCCGGGGTCAGGCCTATGCCAGCCCAGCTCCGCCCTTGCCCACCCGGGACCCAGGCTGGGATCACAGCGTGCGTGTGGCAGGAAGTGTGCCAAACGGTCCGTTCTGTCCCCACCTGAGGAAAATGCAAAGGATGAGTCCGCACGTCTGTGCTCTGGGTCCACAGACTGAGGCGGGGGTGGGGGGACTCTGCGGCTTCTCTCCCTGCCGGCGTGTCTCGGGTGGGTCGCTGGGTTTTTTCCTCGTCCTGGCAGTTTTCGTGGTTTGTAGAGTCCAGGAAGTTTTGGGAATGAGAAATGAGCCAGGGCGCTGGGGTTGACGTCCCAGGATGTGTGGGTGACAGTAGACCACCGAGTGGCCCGCAGGCCTTCCGACCCCAGGCCTCCCCTCGGTGTGGGCCGACAGTGGGCGACCGTGGAGTTTCCCGCTGAGTTTGTGCTTCTGGAGCGTGGGGACAGGCAGATGCTGGGCGGTCACCCCTGCCCTCCCGTGGTGTGGGGGGCGTGGGTCAGAGCTCTCCCGGTGGCCAGGGGCTTCTGCGAGTCCAGCTCCCTTCTCCGTTCATTTCCTCTGAACTGTAGGGAAAAATTACCGCAGAACAGCGCTCAGAACGCGGGCTCTCATGTCCCGGTTGGAGGGCTTGGGTTTCTGGTTCCCAGTGGGAAAGTCACAGGGAAGGCACAGGACCGGGGCCCTTTTCAGTTTGGGGTTCTTGGAGGAACTGAACTCCTGCCAATGAGAGGACTGTGGCCTTGGTGACCGGTCCAGAGGTGGCATGCAACCCTAACGGAGCCAGTCCCAACCAGCCCTGGGACATCTGCCGTAGAACTGTGGACACAGCTTTCCCTGCTTAGCTCCGGGACCTTAAAAGGTGTGCGGCTCTGGCCAGGCGCGGTGGCTCATGCCTGAAATCCCAGCACTTTGGGAGGCCGAGGCAGGTGGGTTACCAGGTCAGGAGATCGAGACCATCCTGGCCAACATGGTGAAACCCCGTCTCTACTGAAAATACAAAAATTAGCTGGGCATGGTGGTACGTGCCTGTGGTCCCAGCTACTTGGGAGGCTGAGGCAGGAGAATTGCTTGAACCCAGGAGGCAGAGGCTGCAGTGAGCTGAGACTGCACCACTGCACTCCAGCCTGGCGACAAAGCAAGATTCTGTCTCAAGAAAATAATAATAATAATAAGGGCTGGGCATGGTGGTTCACACCTGTAATCCCAGCACTTTGGGAGGCTGAGGTGGGTGGGTCACCAGGTCAGGAGTTTGAGACCAGCTTGACCAACATGGTGAAATCCCGTTTCTACTAAAAATACAAAAATTAGTTGGTTGGGTGTGGTGGCGGGTGCCTGTAATCCCAGCTACTTGGGAGGCTGAGGCAGGAGAATCACTCACTTGAACCCAGGAGGTGGAGGCTGCAGTGAGCCGAGATTGGGCCATTTCACTCCAGCCTGGGCAATAAGAGTGCAACTGTGTCTCAAAAAAAATAAAATGGTTCCCCTGCTTGGAGGACCTCACCCGGCTGCCTGCGGGTGCTCATAGGAGGGTCACTTTCTGCGTCCCAGCATATGCACTGCTTTCTGGTGTACCCCAGTGGCTGCGCAGGGATGCCTGTGTTTACAAAGCACAGTCACATCCGTTATCTCAGGTGCTGCTCACAAAGCCTGTGCTGGAGGCTCAGCGCTGTGTGGGATATGTGATATGTGGGACCCCAGGCTCAGCTATCGGGACACCCGCCTGGCCCCAGGGCCATCAGAGTGGAGGCTGAAGCTCCTGGCCTGTGACTCAGAGGTTGTGCTCTTCCCACACCTGATTCGCTCTCCAGGCAGAAGACAAGTCCACTGCTCATCCCCACTCCACTGGTCCCTGTTGGGAACTGGGTCCCTTTTTCTGGAGTTCAAAGACAAGGCCGTGACCCCACCGTCCCTTCTTCCCTGAACGAACCACCTCTGCCCCCCCAGGCTGGGTATGCCCTTGTGCGGTCCTCATGCCAGGTGAGTTGGCTCCCTCCGTCCCATGGAGCTGGGTCTCACCTGCGAAGTTGACGGTCACAGCCGCAATGATGATGATGATGCCCATGATGATGAGGGTGATGCTGAGCATTCGGGCCAGGCGGCCCAGCCTCCGGGCACCGTCCGTGTCCCCCTGCTGCAGGCTACTCCGAGACTGCGGAGAGAGCAGGGAGAGGACTCAGGAAGGCTGTGTGTCCGCTGTGCGGGGCTCGGCAGGTGGCCCTGGGGCAGCCGGAGCCTGGGTCCCGGACACACCCTGTGCCCATGGCAACCCACACTCTGGGGGAGAGAAAGAGGGCTCCCCCTGGAGAAGTGGCCTGGGCCTCTTGTGCGGACCCCTGACCACACCTGTCCCTCACCGGCTGGGGACAGCCAGGAGCAGAACCCAGCAAAGCCTGGCACTTCTCAGGGTGGTGATGGCGGGGCGGTGGTGGTAGGTGGCAGGGTAGAGGCCGCTGGCCTGAGAGGGTGAACCAGGTCCAGGCCCCTCCAGACCCCAGCGCAAAGCTCCGCTCTGCAGCTGCATGGGGGTCCCAAGACAGTCCCTGAGGCTCCTCCTGCAGCCTGACACAGCTGCCTCCTGTCCTCTGTGGGCATTCCCCACCCCTGACCCTGCCACAGAAAAGACATTGTGGGCCAGGTGTGGTGGCTCACGCCTATAATCCCAGCACTTTGAGAGGCCAAGGTGGGTGGACCATGAGGTCAGGAGTTTGAGAACAGCCTGGCCAACATGGTAAACCCCCATCTCTATTAAAAATACAAAAATTAGCTGGGCGTGATGGTGCGTGCCTGTAATTCCAACTACTTGGGAGGCTGAGGCAGGAGAATCGCTTGAATGTGGGACGTGGAGGTTGCAGTGAGCCGAGATCACATCACTGCACTCCAGCCTGGGTGACAGAGCAAGATTCCGTCTCAAAAAAAAAGAAGACATTGTCTTCACAGCCTCCATTTCCCACCCATGTCCTTGTTGAATCAAGTTGCTTCTGGGATCACGCAGAGCAGAAACATGAAACACTTTGAGGCTGTCCCGTGAGACCAGGACTCGGGGGGAGCCACGTGTGGCCTCACAGGGGCCTGATTTGATGTATCACTCCTCCTCAGTGAGCTGGGTTCTTCCTGAACCTAGTTAAGATGAATGAGGTGGGAGTCGGAGAGTTCAGGGACAAAGAGGAGCCCTAGGAGGGTCCTGGGGTGACTCGGAGAGAGGTGGGGCCAAGCCTCTTTGGGTGTCTTGTGTCCCTGTGCCCCAGAACAGGCACAAGTAGGAGTCCTCTAATGGTGTGGCTGATTTCAGGGCCTCAGGGAAGTCACTTGGTTATTTTATTTTCTGATTATTTGAGGATCCTGAGTTCAACATGAAAATGCAGTTAAGTATGATGAAAATGATGACAATGCGCTGACTTCATGCCAGGCAGCCTGCTAGGGACTATACCTACATTACCTCATTCAGCCTCAGAATCACCCTGGGAGGTTGGCAACGCAGTCCCCGTCCCTGAGGAGGCAGCTGAGCTTCAGAGGCATGCCCCTGCCTCTCTGTGTTCTTCTGTGTAGTGCCCTCTTGGGGTCCTGTTCTCTTCACCGCTCAGAATTCTAACCAGCCTCCACCCAGCCCCGCGCTTCCATTCCAAGCCCCTTCTGGGACAGCATGACAGTGTGACGGCAAACTCAACCCCTGTGTTCTCTTGTGCTCCTCCTCCCACTTGATCAAGCCTGAGCTCCTCCCTCTCCGTGACGACTCCTCTGCCCTCCGTGATGGAGCAGGAGTGCCATTATCTTGGACAAATGCCACTGGTCTAAGTTCCCCTTGATTAAAAAACCAACTAAATCCAGCCCCAAAACATCAGCCTAATGGCTAATGTCAGCATAACCACAAACATTCCAACCCCAAGATGAATCCCTCTCCAACCAGAAAGATGCTAACCCTGAAACCAGAGACATTCCAACCTGCAATCAACTTTCCCTTACACAGAAATATTCTGAACCTATGTTAAGCCCCCTGCTTCCAAAACCCTTAAATATCTTTAGTCTGTAAGAGAGAATGCTCCTGACCAAAATCCGCCAGAAGCCCATCTCAGATTTGTTCTCTGAAATAAATCTGTCTTTGAGTGTTGAGCTGCTTTTCATGTTTATTTCCTCTTTCTTTTTCTTTTTCTTTTTCTTTTTGAGACGGAGTTTTGCTCTTGTTACACAGGCTGGAGTGCAATGGCGCGATCTTGGCTCACCGCAAGCTCCGCCTCCTGGGTTCAGGCAATTCTCCTGCCTCAGCCTCCTGAGTAGCTGGGATTACAGGCACGTGCCACCATGCCCAGCTAATTTTGTGTATTTTTAGTAGAGATGGGGTTTCACCATGTTGACCAGGATGGTCTCGATCTCTTGACCTCGTGATCCACCAGCCTCAGCCTCCCAAAGTGCTGGGATTACAGGCTTGAGCCACTGCGCCCGGCCTTTTTTTTTTTTTTTTTTTTTTTTTTTTTTTGAGACAGAGTCTTGCTCTGTCGCCCAGGCTGGAGGGCAGTAGTGCAATCTCAGTTCACTGCAACCTCCACCTCCCAGGTTCAAATGATTCTCCTGCCTCAGCCTCCCGAGTAGCTGGGACTACAGGCACATGCCACCATGCCTGGCTACTTTTTGTATTTTTATTAGAGACAGTGTTTTACCATGTTGTCCAGGATGGTCTCGATCTCCTGACTTTGTGATCTGCCCACCTCAGCCTCCCAAAGTGCTGGGATTACAGGCCTGAGCCACCGTGCCCGGCCTCTTTCCTCTTTAACTTTTGCACTCCACCCTTCGAGTGAGTTTCCCCTCCCGGTCAATCCCATTGCCCCTCTCCTCTCCAACTTCCTCTCACATGCCCTAGTTCCAAGCACCAATTCTCACCTGAGCTGAGGCAACAACCTCTCGAAGATCCCCCCAGCACCAATCTCTGTTCTTCTTTATGCTTTCCCCATGCCACTGATTCACACTGTCTATATTTATACCAGGTCCAGGATACAGTGGCATGGAGGGGCATCCCAGTTCCTGTCCTCACAGAACTTCCAGCCCACTGGCTTCAGTTATGATGACTTGAAGAAAGGTAAAAACGCAACTGTGGGTAGCATGACAAAGAAGAGGCACCTGATGAGCGGGGAGCCTGAGGGAAGACCTCTGGGAGGAAGGACATTTGAGTCGAGATGGGAAGGATGGGCAAGAGATTGTTTGTTTTGAAAGGAAGAAGGAGTATCCCAGGGAGAGAGGACAGCCACGTGCAAAGGCACTGCATGGCAAATGTGTAGGTGTTCAAAAAACAATTGTCATCTGGGGGTGGTGGCTCACGCCTGTAATCCCAGCACTTTGGGAGGCTGAGGTGGGCGAATCAGGTGAGGTGGGAGGTCAGGAGTTCGAGACCAGCCTGACCAACGTGGTGAAACCCCATCTCTACTACAAATACAAAAATTAGTCAGGCGTGGTGGCAGGTGCCTGTAATCCCAGCTACTCAGGAGGCTGAGGCAGAATTGTTTAGACCTGGGATGCGGAGGTTGCAGTGAGCTCAGATTGTGCCACTGCACTCCAGCCTGGCCAAAAAGGGCAAAACTACGTCCAGGCGCAGTGGCTCATGACTGTAATCCCAGCACTTTGGGAGGCTGAGGCAGGTGGATCACTTGAGGTCAGGAGTTCAAGACCAGCCTGGCCAACAAGGTGAAATCCTGCCTCTACTAAAAACACAAAAATTAGCTGGGCATGGTGGTAGGCACCTGTAATCCCAGCTACTCTGGAGGCTGAGCCAGGAGAATTGCTTGAACCCGGGAGACAGAGGTTGTGGTGAGCCAAGATCATGCCCCTGCTTCACTCCAGCCTGGGCAAACAGAGCAAGACTCCATCTCAAAAAAAAAAAAAAAAAAAAAAAAATAGTGAAACTTCATCTCAAAAGAAATCCATGAGATCTCGTGAGAACTCACTATCATGAGAACAGCGGCATGAGGGTAACTGGCCCCATGATTCAGTTATCGCCACTGGGTCCCTCCCATGACATGTGGGGGTTATGGGAGCTACAATTCAAGATGAGATGTGGGTGGGGACACAGCCAAACCATGTCACCTTCCTAATGTTCCCATGAGGCAGGGATTGTGATTAGCCCATTTTACAGATGGAGAGATGGGGCAGAGCGTGGAACATGATGTGGGCGTGGTACAAGAAGCTACCAGGGAGGTGACAAGGCCAGACCAAGAAAGGCCCTGGCCAGGTGCAGTGGCTCTCGCCTGTAATCTCAGCAGTTTGAGAGGCCAAGGTGGGCAGACATCCACAGGACAATCCCAACACCCCACAGGACAATCACGCCCCACAGGCTGATCCCAACACCCACAGGACAATCCCAACAACCACAAGACAATCCCAACACCCCACAGGACAATCCCTACACCCCACAGGACAATCCCAACACCCCACAGGACAATCCCAACACCCCACAGGAGGATCACACCCCACAGGACAATCCCAACACCCACAGGACAATCCCAACACCCCACAGGCTGATCCCAACACCCACAGGACAATCCCAACACCCACAGGTCTATCCCAATACCCCACAGGTCTATCCCAATACCCCACATCCATGGTCTCCAGCCTCAGCAGAGGCCTCGGGCCATTGACCTGTGTGTCCCTGGGCACTTCCCCTCCCCGCTGCCACCAGGCCCCTATTTCTCAGCAAATGACCTTGGTCCCACATCCCTGGAGGATGGAGGCCATGCAGCATGAGCCAGCCCCGTCCCTCTGAGCAGGTCCACATGTCCCTGCCCGCTCGGCCTCTCAGGCTCCCAGGGGCGGGGAGGGGGCTCTTTCTTCCTGGGCTTTGCCTCCCATCTCTCCACTGCTTCAGGGACCTCAGCCGTCAATCATCTGTCTCTCTCCATTTTGCCGAGGCCCCTGCATTCCCGGTTACCGGGGACCTGCGCGTGGCCAAGCCAGTGGACGCTTCCACACTTACTGAACCTGGCCTCCCTTCCTCAGACTCCCTCCTTCCCGGAGTCTCTCCCTCTTTCCTAGATTTCCTTCCAGCTCCTGGAATCGCTCTTCCAAACACTTTTCTGTCCACTCCCCTCAGCCCACCCCCTAGATGTTAGAGGCCTTTACACCTCTCTAAGGTGGCTTCAGTATTTATTTTTTTTATTTTTTTGAGATGGAATCTCACTCTGTCACCCAGGCTGGAATGCAATAGCATGACCTCAGCTCACTGCAGCCTCTGCTTCCTGGGTCGAAGAGATTCTCCTGCCTCAGCCTCTCTAGTAACTGGTATTACAGGACCTGCCACCATGCCTGGCTAATTTTTTTTGTATGTTTAGTAAAGGCAGGGTTTCACCATGTTGGCTAGGTTGGTCTTGAACACTTGACCTCAAGTGATCCGCCAGCCTTGACCTCCTGAAGTGCTGGAATTACAGGTGTGAGCCACCTTGCCCAGCCAAAATGTAAATTCCTAGAGTGAGATCCCTGCCGCCTCCGTCCCCCATCACCCCCTCCCAGCTCTGCCATGTTAGTCAGACCTTCTACTCCGATCCTCTGCTTCCCAGAAGCCAACACAGCGCCTGGTGCATGAAAGAAGCGCATTCATTCACGGGGACCTGACCGTCCTCCACCTGCTTCATAAGAGAGACGCATTCATTCACGGAGCCTGACAGTCCTCCACCACTTCGTTCCCTCAGCACAAGCCCCTTGCCATTCAAGTCGACTGAATGAATGAATGGTCAGTGCAACAACTCTCAGAGGGTTCCAGAAGCCCGCCCTGGCCCTGGCCCTGGTCTGGGTCCAGGCCTCTTCACCTCTGGCCTGCATTCCTACCAAGGTGACCTCTCCTGAGCGCGAGCCTCATCCCCTCCAGCCCCTCCTCTCACCCCGACCCAGACGGATCCGGCAAAATGGAAATCCAACCACACTCCTCTCGGCTGCAAAGCCTACAACTTGCTGCTGGTACAGCGGGGGTGATGCTTGAAGGCGTTATGCAAAGTGAGCGGGGCAGTGACACAGGCCTCATCCCGTATCATTCCACTCATCACGCCATGCGCGGAACGGGCAGAGCTACAGAAACAGAAAGGAGACTGCCGTGAGGGGTCGGGGGTGGAGGGTGACGGGTGAACGGTGCAGGGTTCGTTTCCTTTCTTTTCCTTTTTAAAGATGGACTCTTGCTCTGTCACCCAGAGTGGCTGGATCTTGGCTCACTGCCACCGCCACCTCCCGGGTTCAAGCGATTCTCCTGCCTCCGCCTCCCAAGTAGCTGGGATTGCAAGTGCACAGCACCACGCCCGGCTAATCTCTTTGTATTTTCAGTAGAGACCGGGTTTCTCCATGTTGGCCAGGCTGGTCTCGAGCTTCTGACTTCAGGTGATCCTCCCACCTTGGCCTCCCAAAGTGCTGACAGGCTTGAGCCACCGTGCCCGGCCGGGGTACAGGGTTTCTTTTGGAGATGAGGCAAGTGTTCAAAATGGACTGCGGCTGTGGCTGCACCTGTGTGTGGATATGCTAAAAACCACTGCAGTTTAGATCGGTGCCTTGAGGGGTATGCAAGTTCTGTCTCAAGAAAGCCGTTTCCAGAAACCTGCGATGGCTTCCCATCTTCCCCCGGGGAGACTCCCAGCTGCTCCTCACGTACCATTACCACGCAAGCCCCCACGCCCTGCTGGTGTTGCTCTGAGCACTGGACGTGGCCTGTCCCATCTCACCTCCTCCTGGCTCTCGAGCAGGCGTTACATGATGGCCATTCTGCAGACAGGAATGCCGAGGAGGAGGGCCGTGAATGACTTTCCCGGGGCCACCTAATCACCTCGTGGGTATATCTGACAGGGACACTTCTGCAGTATGTCATAAGAATCTGTTTAAGAGCCCCTCCCCGCTGCCCAGAGGCTCCAGGAATTGGTGATGGTGTCTGGCCAGCACTCTATTCCTTGTGCCCAGACCAGTGTTCATCAGACCTGACTCAAAAACCGTAAAAGGGGCCAGGTGCGGTGGCTCACGCTTGTAATCCCAGCACTTTGGGAGGGGAGGCGGGCGGATCACCTGAGGTCAAGAGTTGGAGACCAGCCTGGCCAACACAGTGAAACCCTGTCTCTTCTCAAAACACAAAAATTTGCTGGGCATGCTGGCAGGTGCCTGTAGTCCCAGCTACTCGTGAGGCTGAGGCAGGAGAATTGCCTGAAACCAGGAGAAGGAGGCTGCAGTGAGCCGAGATCGCGCTGTTGCACTCCAGCCTGGGCGGCAGAGCAAGACTCCATCTCAAAAAGGAAAAAAAAAAAAAAAAAAAAAAAGGCTGGGTACGGTGGCTCATGCCTGTAATCCCAACACTTTGGGAGGCTGAGGAGGGTGTATCACAAGGTCAGGAATTCGAGACCAGCCTGGCCAATATGGCCAAACCACGTCTCTACTAAAAATACAAAACTTAGCCAGGCATGGTGGCGGGCACCTGTAATCCCAGCTACTCAGGAAGCTGAGGCAGGAGAATCACTTGAACCTGGGAGGCGGAGTTTGCAGGGAGCCAAGATTCTGCCATTGCACTCCAGCCTGGGAGACAGAGTGAGACTCCGTCTCAAAACAAAACAAAAAGCCTGAAAGAATGTGGCAAGGCACTGGGTGGGTTCTGTGGTCTCAGAGTCCTGGGCTTGGCCTCCTGTGGACAAAGACAGGTTCCACGCAGCCTCTGCCCCTGCTGCCCACCAGGAGGTGGTTTCAGCAGCTGTTTTCTCCCGAGCCCTTGGGGGGCTTTCCTCCCCAAATCTGGTCCCCTCCTGGGACCCTTCCCTGTAACTGAGACATGGGCCCTGCCCAGAGCCACTGCTGCGCCCCTGGGTCTTGGCTCTACCCGCATGCGGTCCCTGGGAACAGCAGGGATCACGGAGAACTGCCCCAAAGCTTCCCGAGCCCAGGCCCATCCTTCAGGTTGGGGAAAGCTTCCGTGGAGGGAGACTGGGCCTCACTGAAGCAGACGACAGAGGTATGCGTTTGAGGAGAGAGGAGCTTTCTCAGAGGACCGCTCCTGGGGGCCCACTGCCCATGGCTCTCCAGGAAGCTGCTCCCGGCTGGGCTGACGCCCACCTCCCTCGCCGTCCTCTGGCCCCGACCAGCCTGGGCCAGTGCTTTCGTCCCCACGGCCGCCCCTGCCCTCACTCTGAAAGCGTCGCCTGCCCTGCTCTCTCCCCCCCACCTTTTGTAACTCTCTCTTCCTGGACTTCAAAAGTCCCTTGCCAATATCTGCTGACACATTCTATGGAATCCTTTATAAGTAGCTGTACCCAGATGGCTTGGACTGGACACAATCTAAGACAGTTCACTCAAAACCCTGTAGATGTAAAAACGTGGCACATGCCCCTTCCTGGGCGAGGCGGGCTGTGCCCTCTGATGCTTACGTTTCACTTGTGACCCAGACCTGCCCTGCTCTGAAGACGGAGGCTGAAATCAGCGCAGCTGCAGAGCTGCAGAGGGCTCTGGGGGACTCCACCCTCGGGAGGAGCAGCCTGCGCGCTATCCCCTCCTCGTGCTCCCTCAGGCTCCCTGGGGAGCCTGGCCCTGAGCTCTTAGTGCCCTGCAGGGAAGACGCTGCCGCTCTTGGAAACCAGAGCTGAGAGAGGCTAGGAGCGCCCAGGTGCCCTGGAGGACAGGTTCCTGGGAACACAGGGCCCTGGGACCCCCGTCAGGTGGCAGCCCCTGCTGAGACAGCCCCACTCAGGGCTGACTATGGGGCAGCCCCTCCCTCCAAACGTAGCACACCCCTGCAGCCTGGCAGTCTCTCTGCCCTGTGGGACTTAACACCAGCAGCTCCTGAGTGCCCTCCCTGAGCCACAGGCACAGTCGAGCAGTGATGCCCAGAAGCAGAGATGAGAGAATAGAGCAGACGCCTTCCCGGCCCCGGGGCCCCTCCCAAGGGGAAGGGAGGCCAGCGAGAAAAGGGGTGTCCCTCAAGCCCCCACACCCATCTCTCCTCCACACCCCAGGCATTGTGTGTGGGGCCTGCCTGGGGGACATGCCGCCCCCTGGGCCCAGCCCCACCCTGGAGGGAAGAGCAGCACTTACCATGATGGAAAAGATGAGGGGGATGAGGTTGAGGGGCCAGACGGGGCAGAAGCAGGCAGCGACGGCCAGGATGAGGTAATCTCGGGGGGCTCCCCGGTCTTGGACATAGGAGGTGGTGGCGATGGAGGAGGCCCTTCTGGAGCTGGCCCGGGAGGGGGACCGAGGCAGTGGGGCCTCCAGCTGCCCCTCAGAGATGGCCTTGAAGGGCAGGCCGTGGTCATTCCGCTCCAGATCCAGAGGCACCGAGAGGGAGCTGGACAGACTCAGGGTCTTGCCATCCTTGTTCTCTGCCCTGGTGAGGAGTTTCTCCATCTCCGGCAGGTCCAGGGATGAGGTGGAGCCCGGCTCCTGTGCAGAGGGAAACTGAGGCTGCCCCAGGTCAGCCATGGGTGCCTGGCCTTGCGCTGCTGCTGCTGCTGCAGCTCCAGGCGGAGACACAGGGCTCTGGAGGGACCTCAGCGCACCATTCCCCAGCCCAGACTCTGGGCCCTCCGCGTCAGGGCAGAGGCGTCCCCCGAGGGCCGGCGGGCCGGCTGCGTGCTGGAAGGCTTGGGCTGGGCTTCTTGAGGCCAGCTGAGTTCAGAGGCTGGGGCCTGCCCGCTGCCCTGCGGAGCTCCCAGGAAGACACTGGAGCCTCCAGCTCCGTTCAAGTGTGAGGCCAACTTTGCTGGCACTGCTGAGAGCACAGATGGGCAGGGAAGCAAAGAAAGCTCCGAGAGCAGGGAGGAGCATGCGCCTCTTCCCAGGGAGGCTCAGGCTAAGTCACGGAGGCTGTGTGTGTGTGTGCATACCACACGGCCTCCCTCCCTCTCCCCCTCCTTGGTGATGCTTTTCCTTTTCAATTCCCTCTCTCCAGAGATTCACCCTGGCAGCACTTTTGCCTCTGCCCCAGCCCAGCCCAGCCCAGAGGGACTCAGGGCAGCCTCAGGTTTCCACTGAAGCTCCAGGGCCTGCTCCTCTGGGCGGGGGCTGTGGATGGGGAGAAAGACATATTAGTGGCCAGGCGCAGTGGCTCACGCCTGTAATCTCAGCACCTTGGGAGGCCGAGGTGGGTGGATCACGAGGTCAAGAGATCGAGACCAGCCTGCTCAACATGGTAAAACCCTACCTCTACTAAAAATACAAAAATTAGCTGGGCGTTGTGGTGTGTGCCTGTAATCCCAGCTACTCTGAAGGCTGAGGCAGGAGAATCACTTGAACCTGGGAGGTTGCAATGAGCCAAGATCTCGCCAGTGTACTCCAGCCTGAGTGACAGAGTGAGACTGTCTAAAAAAAAAAAAAAGGAAGCTGGGCACGGTGGCTTAAGCCTGTAATCCCAGCACTTTGGGATTACAAGGTCAAGGCGGGTGGATCACAAGGTCAAGAGATCGAGACCATCTTGGTCAACATGGTGAAACCCCGTCTCTACTAAAAATACACAAAATTAGCTGGGCATGGTGGCGCGTGCCTGTAATCTCAGCTACTCAGGAGGCTGAGGCAGGAGAATTGCCTGAACCCAGGAGGCGGAGGTTGCGGTGAGCCGAGATCGTACCATTGCACTCCAGCCTGGGTAACAAGAGCGAAACTCCGTCTCAAAAAAAAAAAAAAAAAAAAAAGGAAAAAAAAAATCACCCTGGGCCACACAGGGGTGTGTCTTCAGCTTTCCGGGGAACTGAGCCCTGTGCTGCTTCTGCCAAGGCAAGCGTGCAGTTCCTCCCATCTGCTGGGAAATGCTGGGCCCTAGGCCCTCTCCTCACATCCCACTCAGACCCTGGCCCCCAACCCCTACGGGCATCCAGGCTGAAGCCTTGCTCCAGCTCCAGGAGGAAAGGGACAGTGTGGGCGCCAGGCGGGGTAGCCCCTAGAGGGAGCGGATGCTGGCTGGACCAGCAGGCCCCATGAACGGGTTTCTACGCAGTTCAGCACTGGGTGGGGAGGAGGAGAAGCGGGGCTGTTGAGCCGGCCTCGGGCCCATCAGAGCAATTTGGTGGTGCTAAAGAGCCAGCAGGCAGAGCCCCTAGGTCAGAGCTGCTAGGGCGGGCGCCGGTTCTGAAGGGCCTCAGGCTCCAGCTGTCTGTCCTTGGATTCTCCTCTGCCCCTTTCTTCTCTCTTAGGTTTTCCTCCTCTGATTCTGCCTTCTTCTCTGTCCTCCGCATCTCTTTCTCTCTAACACTTCTTCTTACATTGTTTTGCAAGTGTGACCCGGAGCCACCAGGGATGTGTGTGTGTGGTTTGAAAGTGGCTGTATAAAATAGTTTAAATTCCTACAATCAGGTGGGGCGTCATGGCTCATGCCTGTAATCCCGGCACTTCAGGAGGCCGAGGCTTGAAGACTGCTTCAGCCAAGGACTTCAGGACCAGCCTGGGCAACATGGTGAAATCCCATCTCTACAAAAAATACAAAAATTAGGTAGGTGTGGTGGCATGCACCTGTAATCCCAGCTACTTGGGAGGCTGAGGTAGGAGGACTGCTTGAACCTGGGAGCTCAAGGCTGCAGTGAGCCGAGATTGTGCCACTCAGCTCAGTGGGAGATATGGGAGCTGACAGGACACCTGCAAATGAATAGGATTTGAAAATTCGGCTGGCCTGTAATCCCAGCACCTTGGGAGGCTGAGGCTGGTGGATCACTTGAGGTCAAGAGTTCGAGATCAGCTTGGCCAACAGAGCAAAACCACGTCACCACTAAAAATACAAAAATTAGCCAGGCATGGTGGCAAGTGCCTGTAACCACAGCTACTTGGGAGGCTGAGGTAGGAGAGTCACTTGAACCTGGGAGGCAGTGAAGGTAGCAGTGAGCTGAGATTGCACCACTGCACTCTAGCCTGGGTGATAGAATGAGACTCCTTCTCAAAACAAACAAACAAAAAACCTCACAATGTTTGTGGCTTTGGTATAACTTTTCAGATTTCATAAATTTGACTATATTAAGAATTTTGCTCAGGCTGGGTGTGGTGGCTCACGCATATAATCCCAGCACTTTGGGAGGCGGAGGTGAGTGGATCACCTGAGGTCAGGAGTTCAAGACCAGCCTGACCATCATGGTGAAACCCCAACTTTAAAAAAAAAAAAAAAAAATTGATACTATCCTGGAGTTTCGCTCTTGTTACCCAGGCTGGAGTGCAATGGTGCGAACTCGGCTCACCGCAATCTCTGCCTCCTGGGTTCAGTCAATTCTCCTGCCTCAGCCTCCTGAGTAGCTGGGATTACAGGCACGCGCCACCATGCCCAGCTAATTTTTTGTATTTTTAGTAGAGATGGGGTTTCACCATGTTGACCAGGATGGTCTTGATCTCTTGACCTTGTGATCCACCCGCCTCGGCCTCCCAAAGTGCTGAGATTACAGGCTTGAGCCACTGCGCCCGGCCTCGTAATTTTTTTTTTAGACCGAGTTTCACGCTTGTTGCCCAGACTGGAGTGCGATGGCGCCATCTTGGCTCACTGCAATTTGGGATTACAGGCATGCACCACTACACCTGGCTAATTTTTGTATTTGTGTATTTTTCATAGAGATGGGGTTTCACCATGTTGGCCAGGATGGTCTCCATCTCCATCTCAGGTGACCCGCCCTCCTCGGCCTCCTAAAGTGCTGGGAATAGAGGCATGAGCCACCACGCCTGGCCATGATAACCACCATTTTAGAATAATCACAAAATCCTTTCTTCACCACATATCAGTTATCTTGGTGAATGGATATGATCTTGGGAAGCCGACAGAAAATCGAGCAAGAGTTCCAGGAACCCTAAACGGCACATAACTAAGGCTACTCAGGCCCAGGACCCCTGTGGCATCAGAGGGAGGAGGAAGCACTTGTCAGGCTGATACGTGTTCGATACACACACAAATGTCCACGCAGCCACACATCTGTGTAAGCACACACAAAATACGTCCACATCACAGACTCAGAATGCCAGGCAAGTATCAGCACACAAACATATGATGTGCACACCGAAACACGCAGACCTTGATGACTGCAGTGTGTCCTGAACTTTACAGTTTATAAAACACCTTCCCAGGCATTCTGTCCTTGCAACAACCTTGTGAATTGGATGTGTCTGAGCAGCCTCCGCCCAGTGAGTGCTTCTGCAGGCTATGCTACTGTTTATTTTATTTATTGATTATTTTTGAGTCGGAGTCTCGCTCTGCTGCCCAGGCTGGAGTGCAATGGTGTGGTCTCAGCTTACTGCAACCTCTGCCTCCCGCGTTCAAGCAATTCTTTTGCCTCCACCTCCTGTGTAGCTGGGATTACAGGCACCCACCACCACATTGGCTAATTTTTGTATTTTTAGTAGAGATGTGATTTCACCATGTTGGCCAGGCTGGTCTCGAACTCCTGACCTAGTAATCTGCCCCACTCAGCCTCCCAAAGTGTTGGGATTACAGGCGTGAGCCACTGCACCCGGCCGCCACTATGCTATTGCTTTAAATGCATTGTCTCATTTAGTCTCTGCAACAGCCTATGATGTTAAGTACTTATTCTAGCCCATTATACAGATAGGAACACTGAGGCTCAAAGCCACCAGGTGCTTTGCCCAGATCACTCAGCTGGTAAGTGAGGAGACATAAGTCCAGACCTGTGACATCCCCCCACCCCCGGCTGAACTCACAGGGTTGCCGCCTCAGGATTCTGCCTGCTCTGGTGTCCTTGCCATTTCCAGGCTGAGCGTGAGATTGTGGGAGAGGAACCCTTATTTCTTTCAGTCCTGGAATTGAGGCAAGCAGGACTTGCTGGCCATTGTATCATATTTCCAGAGAATGAACACCTGAGGCTGAAAGAGGGCTACGGCCTTATCCAAGCTGGCCTCGCCTCAGATTCTAATCGTGCAAACAGTCACGACTGCGGAACGCCGTGTTTGCCAGAAACAGTCCATTAGGAACCACTTTGACTCCTCACAGCCACCCTGCGCTGCAGTCACCATTCGTGTCAGAGGGGAGGAACCGGAGGCTGACAGGGGCGGCAGAGGAGGGGCTGGCCCGGGGCAGGCCTGGCTAGACCCCATGTCCCCTCTGAATAGCGTCTGTGCCACAGCCCTCCTGGGCAATTGGGAGCCCGAAAGAAGGCCTGCGGCTGAGGACGGGATGCTGAGCGTGCCAGCCAGGGCCGGGGTTCGCAGAGTGCACAGGCAGCTTTCACTGTGGCCGTGAGCCTCACCCCACCTGCTCTGGGACAACCCCCTGGGCCATGACTAATTGCGTTTCTCGAGCTTCCGTGGGATCCCCACCCGGAGCTAGCTGTGTGGAATCCTTCCCTCCCCGGCTCACAAGACTCCGGCTCTGGCCCAGCAGGTGGCCCCTGCAGCATGACACCCTTAGCCTGAGCCCGGCGGGACACCAGCTCATCTCAGACGAGGACAGCTCTCCATGTGGAACTGGCTGTGCCACTCAGTCACTCAGCAGGCTTGGCCTGAGGCCCCTCTGCCCTCACTCAACCCTCCCACCCAGAATCCTTCCTGGGTTCCAAGTCCGCCCCTCACCATGGGGGGGCCCTGGCCCGAGGTTCCCTGGGAGCTCTCCCTGCCTGTTGCTGGAGGTAGGTGTATGCAGGACTTGCACCCAGTCCTTGGCCTGCCCTTGGCCTCCTGCCCTGAGACATGGCCAGACTCTCCCTTCGTGGTAGCCCTCCATGTGGCTGACTCCAGACCACGGCTCTGCAGGGAAGTCCAGAGCCTGGGCTGAGCACATCCCCCAAGCCCCTCTCCCAATACTGTCCTCTCCCACCCCAGGGACGCAGGGCGGGGCGTCATCGCTGGCTGTCTCTTTCCTCCCCGTGGG